AAAAAAAAAAAAAAAAAAAAGTCTCGTATATCTCATGCAGTTTTTTCCAGAAGCAACTTTTCTAACGCTTATAGAAAAGCCCTATTGGCCAGTACTAAATACAACATCTACGTAAAATGGCAGTTACTATAATAAGCACCACCCACATTCATATTGTAAAATCCAGAGGACAACGTTTCATCACGTGCTTTCCTTATCATCCTATGATTTGTCAAATGGGAGATACAGCAATTGGAATAATTGGTACTGAAATTGACACTTTCGACTAGGATTGGCTAAAAGTTTTACAACTGAGGTTTAACACACCCAGATGCAGTTTTATAAAGAAAACAGACTAGAAAAAGGTTTAGATACCAATCATAGATGGCAGAACCAGTGCTGAGGTGAAAGGAAATATCTTAAAAAATTTTTTGAAAAAAACATTTATTCTTAGAGGGCGCTTATTTACAGTCTAAAACGTATCTTAGTAATTTTTTCATTAAATTCCTCTTTAAACTTCGTATTATTTAATAACATTCAATTATTTGTACAAAATTTTTTATTTTTATAAATAGTAGCATGATCAGAAATCCATTAAGATATAAGTTCTCTATCATTTTTTCAATTCACAAATGATTTTGCCCTCACACAGGCATTGCCTACTAAGAAAGTTAGTAACCGGTAGTCATCGGGTTCAATCATTACATTATTTGTATCTGTATAATTAAGAGTAGTGTGTGTAGATGCACGGGAATGTTTTTAAACTTTGTGAAACTTTACAAAAATGAAATGAAGAGTTGGGAAGTACAGACAATATCACCGTATGCATAAGGGAGGGGTGGGTGTATATAGTACTATGCATTACAAAGGGAAGGTTATATGGGGAATGAATCCATCATCCCTTGTAGCCCCGTCTTAGTCATCAATCAACAGTATTTATAATTTGTATCGGCACTGTCACCTTGTTCAGTTTTAATACTTGTCCCTAATATCCAGGCTTTGAAATCGTCACTAAATCTGGTTGTCTCAAAGTGTCTTTTTGTACTAAAAGTGTTTGGTGGGTATCACGTTTTGTGGTATAGGTTTAACCTAGAAATCATTGAGATGCTTCGTACAACCATCAGATTCATTCAGAACTCTATGTAACCAACCTCATGTGAGTAGTTTAGACAGGTCATTTAAATGTTTCAATTACTTTAGATACCAGCTCTGATTTTACACTTTATGAACTCCCTGCATTCTTAATAGAAAATACTAAAACCCAAATAATATTTTTGATGCACAAGTTTTCCTCCTAGTTATTTATTAACAGAACATCAAAAGTTCTAAAAATGACTAAAAATTCAACTTGCCTACCCAACATATATCATCAAACTAGTCACTTGTGTTCTATACCTTTGTTTCTTCTGTTGCACATATAAACAGTTTGTATCACTTGTGTTATCCAACATATATCATCAAACTAGTTACTTGTGTTCTATACCTTTGTGTCTTCTGTTGCACATATAAACAGTTTGTAACACTTGTGTTATAAATGGTTTTCTTTTTCTGTTGGACATGTAAACAGTTTGCAACACTTGTGTTATAAATGTTTTTCTTTTCTATTAGACTTGTAAACAGTTTGTGACACTTGTGTTATACATGGTTTTCTTTTTCTGTTGGACATATAAACAATATGCAACACTTGTGTTATACATTTTTGCTTCTTCTGTTGGACTTGTAAGCAATTTGTAACACTTGTGTTATATCTTTTTTTCATCTATTGGACTTGTAAACAGCTTGTAGCACTTGTGTTGTACATTTTTGCTTCTTCTGTTGGACTTGTAAATGTACATTGAAATCTCTGGTAATATTTGAGAAATTAAACTTGGCATTTCTTCAGAAAATATGACTTCTTTTATAATTTGTCTCACTTTGCTATTTCAACTCCCTCCGGAGGTTATGAGTGTATTTTGGTGAGTCTTGGCTTGAAATTAATTATATAGACTAAACATAAGGACAGCCTAACGTGAAATCATGTACTGTAGTTTACAGTAAACAGTATACACAAGTCACCCTGGATTTTATAAAAACATTCTTACAACAGTTTTATTTCCATATTTTTTAGCTGTTTTTTTGACACCTTCCTCCAGTTTGCTGATACTTCATTGGTTGCTTCTCTTCTTCCTGTTCTCATAGAAAGGACCTTGATTCTGTACCCAGTGGAGGGTTACATTGAAAAAGTCCAAAGGTAATTTTTGTCGTTGTTAAAGATTTTTCTTGCATACATGTAGAGAGATCAGATGTCAATGTCAGATCAAAGTTTGAACATGTTAAGGTCACAGCCCAAAAACTTTGAAAGTTTATCAGAAGTTGTCCTTAAAAAAGGAAGACCTTTTTAACATGCCCAAGTTGTTTAATGTAAATGTTGGATTTGTTGATTTCTTGTGATATTAACTTTATTTGACGTTGTTTTGAAATGTAGCTGAGGTTAAATGAAAGTTTTAGACTTTACAAATTCTAATTGCTGTAATAAGTTAATGTTGTAGTGATAACTTGGTGTACATAGATGAAAAAGTTCAACATGTCTTCATTATTTCAGTTGACCCAACACACACACCTGTACAATTATAAAATTAGTGTTTTGTTATGTGTTTGATTTAAAAGTACAACATTACTTGTTCAGGTTATCTCTAGAGGATTGTCTGTAACTTGTTCAGGTTATCTCTAGAGGAATGTCTGTAACTTGTTAAGGTTATCTCTAGAGGAATGTCTGTAACTTGTTCAGGTTATCTGTAGAGGAATGTCTGTTTTACGATTCTATTTGTTTTTCACCTTGTAGAATGATGTCAGAAAATGTTATCAAACTTATATCTCTTCATCCTGATGTCCTGGTCCACCTTCAAGAAGAAATAGGAGAGTTCTATAGCCACATCAAAAACTTCAGTTATTCTTCTGAATTCTTTATAAGCTTGGTAACTATTATTACTCTCTATGTCAAAAAAAGGACTGTTATTTAAGGGTGATCATGAACTGTCATAAACTGGTGTTCTGTAAAATACAGAATACACCTAATGAGAGAGAGTTGTAACAGAAAAGTTCATAAACTGGTGTTCTGTAAAATAAAGAATACACCTAATGACAGAGAGTTGTAACAGAAAAGCTCATAAACTGGTGTTCTGTAAAATAAAGAATACACCTAATGACAGAGAGTTGTAACACAAAATTTCATAAACTGGTGTTCTGTAAAATAAAGAATACACCTAATTTGAGAGAGAGTTGTAACAGAAAATGTCATAAACTAGTGTTCTATAAAATAAAGAATACACCTAATGAGAGAGAGTTGTAACACAAAATTTCATAAACTGGTGTTCTGTAAAATAAAGAATACACCTAATGAGAGAGAGTTGTAACACAAAATTTCATAAATTGGTGTACTGTAAAATCAAGAATACACCTAATGAGAGAGTGTTGTAACAGAAAAGTTAATAAACTGGTGTTCTGTAAAATAAAGAATACACCTAATTAGAGAGAGAGTTGTAACACAAAATTTCATAAACTGGTGTTCCGTAAAATAAAGAATACAGCTAATGAGAGAGAGTTGTAACACAAAATTCATAAACTGGTGTTCTGTAAAATAAAGAATACACCTAATGACAGAGAGTTGTAACACAAAATTTCATAAATTGGTGTTCTGTAAAATAAAGAATACACCTAATGAGAGAGAGTTGTAACACAGTTTCATAAACTGGTGTTTTGTAAAATGAAAAATACACATTTTGGATTTGGTATTTTTTTCATCCACTTTATTCTTTTAAATCATTTTTACAGTAGCATTTACAATTAAGAAAACTTAACATTTGTTTGTATAGCATATGTGTATGTCAGTATATTTGAAATCCAAATTTATGAAATTAGTATGACAGTTTAAGCAGAGTCATTGTATGTTAAAACCTATCTCAGTTATATACTAACAGCTTCTCTTGATTTCTACTAAAATTTTACCAGTGTAAAATAATTTCACCACAATGAACTGTTCATATCTTAACAATTTCTATCAGTTTCTCATTCTGAGAATATACCCCTGACACCTAATGTCATGAGGATGAACTATGTTTTAACAGTTTGTTTTGATTTATTGTTCTATAATTCTACTTGTAACATCCATTACAAACAGGATGAACTATTGTTTTAATATTTTAACAATTTGTGTTGATTTATTGTTCTATGATTATACCTGTAACATTCATTACAAACACAATGAACAATTTTATTCATATTTTAATGGTTTGTGTTCATTTATTGTTTTAAGATTCTACCTGTGACATCCATCACAAGCAGGATGAACTATTTTGTTCATATTTTAATGGTTTGTGTTCTTTATTGTTTTAAGATTCTACCTGTGACATCCATTACAAACAGGATGAACTATTTTGTTCATATTGTTACGACAGCGGAAGTCTCGTGATGCTAGTAATACGACATGAGCTTCTAGAAAATTCATGTCCCTTCGTGAAGCCTCGAGTGTTTACTAGATGTGTGGTATTCTTGTATATAAGACCCCCAAGAAGTGATGGCAACAATGTAATTGAATTGCAGACAGAGATAGAGACGGACAATTGAGTCAAGCGCGTGAGTCGTTAGTTGTGAATTATAGCGTTTGTTTAAGTTATAGCGTGACTGTGGAAATTAAATTTATTGCAAAGTTGTATTGAGAAAGAATAAACTAGTTTTATTTAAGAAAGGATTTGTGTCACTAAAGTTTCATCAGAAAGAAATTATGCCGGAAGTTAACTTACGACCAGAGATGTAATAAAATGGTGTCAGAGAGTGGGACAAAAAAAAATAAGATGGAAACGAGAAGCGGCAAATCAAATTACAGCTTAGCAGATTTGATGGCAGCAATACAAGAACAGCAAAAGTAACAAGATGAGCGAGAAAAGAAACAAGAAGAGAGATTACAGCAGTTGTTGGAGGAAAAAGAAAAGAAACAAGAAAACCTTCAACAGTGGCAGCTCGAACAACAAAATAACCAAGAGAGATTACAGCAATTGTTGGAGGAAAAAGAAAAGAAACAAGAAGAGAGACAACAGCAGTGGCAAGAAAACCTGCAACAGTGGCAGCTCGAACAACAAAATAACCAAGAGAGATTACAGCAATTGTTGGAGGAAAAAGAAAAGAAACAAGAAGAGATTCAACAGTGGCAGCTCGAACAACAAAATAACCAAGAGAGATTACAGCAATTGTTGGGGGAAAAAGAAAAGAAACAAGAAGAGATTCAACAGTGGCAGCTCGAACAACAAAAT